ACTAATAAAAAGTTTAAAAGAAAAAACTCCTCTTTGTGCTGCTTAAGACGCACACATGAAAAAATTGCATTTGACGAGAAACTACACTGGGATTTCATCAATTATTAAAAAGAGATTACAAATATATTCTAATTTAAGAAGCATAACTTTTTTTAGTTTGTTATATGTTATAAAGCATAAATATTTTTATGTATTTATGTTTTATATGCATTTACATTTATTTATCCATACAAACACCAGATGGTATACTCACACCATTCTGTAAATTCTGTTCAGTAATAATAAATCAATTTTACTACTAAGCAATTATATTTCTTAAGACCATTAAGAAAAGTCACCATTTCTGTAAACAAATTGCAAGACTACTACTTTTTAAAATCCTAATATTAGGGCTACAATAAAGATAAAAATGTGTTATGGTCTATATGCAGATGATGATAATGGTTTCAAGACACACACAATTTTCTATGGAAATATATGTATAAAATTATCTAATTTAACCCATTAGCTGCTGGTGTTGCATTGATGCAATGGTTAAAATAAATGCATATATAAATGTAACTACCTAATATATTTTATACCAGATGATTTTTTTTTGGTAGGGAATATTATGAAGATTGTTTCTGTAAAAAATATTTACCTTCAACAATCATTTTGTTTATAATAATTTAATCTCATACTTTAAGCAAAATTTTCGACCGGGTATTTTTGCCGAAAATATTTAACGAAAAAAATCGCTGTCTTTATGAGTGATCTATTTTTACTCAAGGTCACCGTTTATCAGAACATTACATCAATCAGATGTTTATATTCGTGTTGGGAAGGAAGGGAAGACAGATGTTGCGCTGATGCAAGGTCAGCAGGAAACTGGTAATCTCCTTTTTTACTCATTCCTTTCAATGTTCTGGCTGCTTTAAAAATGCCTAGAATGAGGTATCTTACCTTAGAAGCAGCCCTTCAAAGACTTTGATGAAGAAACAGATAATGATAATGTTAATAATGACCAGAATGAAACTGATGTTGTTGTTCCCGAATAAATTGCAGAAGCTAGTGATAAAGAAGTGAATGACAATGTTTCAAATAATGATAATGATATTTTACCAAATGACACTGCTGGGGAAGTTGAAATTCACGTAAGAAGTAAGTTTTGGCCTTCTGAAAGCAGTGGTAGTTGTACGAAAAAGTTTAAAAAGCAGAAAACTTGAAATGGATAAAAAAGGAACCGTCAGTTATGTCTCAGGAAGAAAATGAAGAAAGATATAGAACAGAAACTATAAGAGACAAAATACAAGGTAAAACTAGTGGAGAGATTTTCAATTTTCTTTTTGGTTCAGACATTTACTCTCTTCTCGTTGAACAGACAAATATATACGTTCAGCAAAAAAAAAAAAAAATTTGCCCAGAATTTATTGCATTTGAAGCCTGAGAAGATTTACTGGAATATTATTGCTTATGGGATATCATTCTTTACCTCAAGAAGAAATGTATTGGTCTCTTGATAAGGATATTTCTGTTCTTATTGTACGGGAATCGATGTCATGTTTGCAGTATAGGAATAAAAAGCAGAATTTGCATTTAGCTGACAATAGTCAAATTGACAATACTGATAAATTATGTAAGGTGAGACCATATGTAAACTTTCTAAATAAGAAATTTCAACAATTTGGTATATTTTCCTACGATCTGAGTATTGACGAGCAAATGATTCCTTATCGAGGCAAACATTCAGGAAAGATGCTTTTAAAAGGGAAACCTATAAGATTTGAATACAAGGTATGGACTCTGGCATCATCTGATGGATATGTGTTTCATTTCTATATTTATTCAGCTCCAAAATGCTTAACCAGAATATGAAGAGTATGGGCTTGGAGGAAGTGTGGTGATAAATTGTTCAGTGCTGTTGAAACTCCTGCCAATCATGCTATTTATTTTGATAACTTTTTTACATCATTCAGGAAAACTGCATACATATGTGCCCACTAGAAACTGTGAAATGTGTCCTTCAGAAAGATAGGGGTTATTATGATTTCCAGTATGAAGAGAAAAACAAAATAATTTTTGTCTGATGGGACGACAATTCAGTTGTAACTGTTCGTTCAACATTTGGAAACATTCAGCTCATAAAAAATTTTTCCCATTATTCAAAAACACAAAGGAAAAGGGTTTTTATATCTCAGCCTCATCTTATTGAACAATACAATACCGAAATGGGTGGAGTCAATTTATGTGACAATTTAGTAGCCAGTTACAGAATAAGAGTTCGTGGCAAAAAATGGTGGTGGCTAATATTTACTAATTACATTGATGTAGCCTTGATAAATGCATGGAAAATATCATGACATTCTACTACTGGAAATAAAAAGTCTCTTTTAGATTTCAGGCACGAGATTGCTTTATTCCTTTTGCAAACTCCTATTGAGAGTTTAGAATTAACCAGAAATAGATCAGCAACAAAAGGACCTAGTAAATTCAGCATTCAAAAACCATTGCATGGAGATGGTAGACATTTTATCGTAAAGTCTGATGATAACAAAAGTCTTTGTTGTAAAGAGTGCCATAGCCAGACTGTTTATAGATGCAAAGTATGTAATGTAGCTTTACATCATGATTGTAGTGAAGCTTTTCATGCTTGAATATTTCAGTTGAAATAATCTGTATTTGTAAAAGAAATATAATATATATTTTAATATTAAATTAATTACAAGTAAAATTATTTGTAGAGTTATAACGGTGCTCCACTCAAACATAGTACGTGTACAATCTGTAGTCTTATTCCGCTGACATTGCGCGAACGCAACACTTTGCTTTTTCCACAGGCGAGAGCATTTTTTTTTTTTTTTTTTTTTTTTTTTTTTTTATTATTTTCAGTGTAAAATTTCTATTATAAATGCTTAATTTAATATTTGTTATTATTTTCATAAGAATTATTCCGTGTAGTTTTGGCAGTTAATGGGTTAAAACAATCTTTTTGAAAAAGACATTATCTGCTTAATAATCCAATTTATTTGTCTAAATTTTTTTTTTTTTTTTTTTTTTTTTGTTCACTTTCCATAATTATGCACAATTTCCTTTTTTTAAAATTGGAATATTTTTTATTTTTGCATTTTTTGGGTGATGTAGTCACTATGGTTGATTTTATAGTAATAAGATTTTGTTTGCGAGGTATTTTAAAAACTTATATTTAATGTTTACGTGTTATTAAATTGTGCCCTATTAAAGTATTGTAATTTTATAAATTTTATATGCCTCCTTTTTTTTTATACCTTGCTTATTTTTATTCCATGTGTGTGTTAGAAGTATTTTATAGGTATTTATTTTTTTTTAAATATATACACTTTTCTAAGTCAACCAAGTTATTAGTTTACTTGTTAACAACATTGCCACAGAAAACAATTATTCTTTTAGTTCATATTATTGTATACTGACAGGATTAGTTCTGTTAAGAGTTTGGCTTCAAACTTTCACAACAATTATAGCCTATGGGATATTGCTTAACAACTGACATAATGAGATTTTGTATTTTTGTTTTTCCTTAATGAAGAATGGAGCCCACCAGCGGCCGAGCGGTAAAGACGCTGAACACTGGTAGTTCGGTCCGAGGTTCGAATCCCGCGAACGGGCTGGCTGCATGGGCGTTTTTGTGGTTTTCCCCATGTGTAACATGTATACGAGCCAGTTTCCCTTAGAAGTCCTCCACGAAAGGCATCCCTCCCCTTAGGCAGATAGCCCTAGTGTGCTTTGCCATAATTAAATACACCATACCACCACCTTAATGAAGAATGATAATTCATTATTGCAACTAAACTTTAATTACTTAACTTTAATAACTTTAACAACTTAATTTTAAACTTTAATAACTTTAACAACTTAAATTTAACTGTATTTTATTGAAGCATTTCTTATTAGCCTCACAACTCTTGGGTTTATATATACTAAAAATTTAAAATTTCAATTGAATTAAGACAATATATTCTTATTTATGCTATAAATCTCAGAATTCCATTAACTTTCAAATTTTATTTAATTTCTTTTTATTATTTTTTAATACACATGCCATGTGGCTCTCCAACTCCCAAAAGAGTATTTAATACCCAGTCATAAAAGTTAAACAAAATAACAAGTTAAAGAATTACATTAACTTTCTTCAGGATACATATTTATAAAAAAAAGCTCTAAATTTGAGACTTTTAAACGGTTGACATATTTGATCTCTATGAAAACAATAACATTCTTATTTTTCTTAAATAATACTGCTAAAACTGCATTAAGTTTCGTGTATATCTGATAGCGAAATGCAATCTAATACTGGCATTTCTTAAAAGTACTAGATATGTTTCCAAAGGGCAGTGGAGTATTGCTTTGCCAGTAGATTGAAATGAATGGCAATCAACTGAATTTGATTATTTATAAAAAGCTATGACTACATTTTTATCATAGTATGTTTTTCTCTTAATAGCCTTTGTCTATTAACATACACAGTTTTTAAATTTTAATAGTTAAAATAAAATGAAAAATAAATTCATAATTCCCATATTACTTTTATGATAGAAGAGTTGAAAGGTAAAAGCAAAATACATGTGCTATAAATCAAATAGTCATTACCTGTGTAAAAAGTCTGCATATTCTGTTTATGTTCATTATACAGATTTACTGTATTTTTTAATATAAAAGAAGGTAAAACACATACATCAATTTGAAATAAAAGTAATATAAAAATAATTATATCTTATTGTTTGGGAGAAATCTGGATTAATGAATAATTTAATCCTTTACTATTTATTCTAAACTACATACTTAATTTTGTTTGTTTGAAAAATACAAGAAATAATTTATCATGTATATGCTAAATTTCACAAGTTTATTTTTTGTAATCAAAGTTCTATTTGAAAAGAAGAAAAATTGTTCTGCTATTCTTGCAGAATTTTAACTTTATATAAATTTATATATTATATATGTATTATAATAATGAACTGATGTATATGAAAATCTTGCAAAATAAATGACAATCGTTATCCGTCACTGTATTAAAAACAAACAAAATATACATTTCAGCATCTTCATATAAAAATACATATAAAATGGAATGTTCAATATTTTTGTAATTTTAAAAATTACATTTTTCTTTTCAAGTAAATACAGCTCCACAAGTTGGACAACGTCTTCGCTTCATTGCTAAGCAACAACAAACACCACAACAAGGAAAGCAAAACACAGCAAGGCAAAGGGCCAAGAAAGGATAATCCTCTTCAAGAATGCCAACCTACAAAATAATCGTATGATAAAATATTTATAAAACTATAAAGATTAATGATTTAAAACTATTATTAGGAATCAACAGACTCCAACTGTCAAGCAAGTAAAACTATTGAATTTCGTTAATTTCATTAAATATTTCCATAAAAGTTATTCCAGTGCATTAATTATTTCATTGAAAGTTTTGCTGATTCATAAAAAAAATCAGTTTTATTTAGATAGCTCTATCACAGTGCATCTACGAGATTTTAGAGCTAATTTTTTTATATCAGCCTTGTCATAATGATTATTACCACAATTAACTGGCATCATGAATTTAGCAATTCAATGAGGAGAAATATGAAAGTTTCTTTGCATAATATAGTTCTTAGCAAGGAAATTATTACAGACAAAAATGCTATCACACACTGCTGAACATTTCTGTATCCTATAGTGAAATCTCTCTTTAAAAGGTACTATTTTGAGATAATTTTTGAAATTCGGAAAACTATTCTGATATGAACTAAGGTAGGTTCTAAGAGTTAACTTTTACAAAGCAATTCAAATGCTTTATGAATCCAGTCTTTAAACTGTATATGTTACAGTCAAAGTAAAAAATTCAGAACAAGTACATCTTGTTGAATGTGATAAATAATGCATAATAATCACATTTGTTAGTAAATGTTAGTAATCACTAATGAAGTTTGGTCAATGTGATTAATTAAGCATAATAGGTTGGAACTCCAACTATAATAGAATTTTTGTCATATTATGATGTGCATGAAATTATGCACATTAATAGTTTTTAGAGCAAAATTCGGTGAAAGTAAAAAAAAAAAAAAAAAAAAAAAAAAAAAGCTTTATAATAATGATTATTATTATTTATAAGATACATTCATCATTATTACATCAAATAAATTACATTACACACTGAAATTTTAAGGCAGCAATAATTTGCAAAGAAATTATTTATTTTGCCAGGAAGAGCTTCTGTGGCATTTTGAGTTATAAAAGATTTTTCATTTTTTACATTTGCAGTGATTTGATTCACATTTGCTTGTACATTTACAATAAAGCCCTTGACAACATACATAATTCTTATGGGCACATTCTCTTAGACTTATTTCAATAACTGGAACTGCATTGACAGAAATGAAAGTTTCCTTGCCAGACATAAAATCATTCCTTGAGTAGAATTTGTTTAAAATGCCATGTTTTGTGCCTAGTTTATATAAGTTTTTATTTCCTTAGAAATTATAACATCTATAATATTCCGGCTATCAGCTTTGTTTGTATTTACTTCTGTTATACTCATCCAAATTGTTTCAAAGTTACATTTTCCAACTGTGAATTCCAAAAGCCATAATATTTCTTCCACTTGCTTGCTTAGTTACTGTTTAGCAAAGTGTCGAGCTTCTTGAATATTTTCTGAGACTTCATTGAGTGCAAAAGTTTCCTTGTTATTTTAAAAATCTTCCATTTCAACATCAGTCAAACTTTTTGCTCTTTTTTCTTTCTCTCATCGATCGTTTCTGTTTCAGAATAATATTCTTTCCCCTACTATTTGCACAGCATTCTTATTTCTGTTTTTTGATAGGACCTGCAACAGTTATTACCTCCAAATTTTCACTCAGTTCACTTCCATATTGTCGTGATTCATTGCACCTACATTCTGATGCTAGGTTGAGATTGTCTAAATTGATGCATTATTATTAGACTGATTCTTTAATACTCAAGCATTTCTTCATTTTTAATTGCTAACAAAGTATTGACTAGCAAGTAGTTCTTAAACTTACACGAAATAATAGAGTTCAGTCTATTTCAGAGTGATGTGCAGTATTTTTCATAAATTTAATGTATTTTATTCCTTCTAACCACTTTGTTATATTGTATGTTTCTAGCCAAAAGGATAACAATTGTTTCACGTTCTTGGCTTCCTCTTTCAACTGAGCCTTGTGAGTAACTATGTATTGGCTTTCTGCGAAAATTTTGAGTTCATTCCACAAACTTCTTCAATAACTTTATTATAAAATTTCAATCATTCTCCTTTGCAAGATACATAGTGCTCCAAATATTGTTGAACATTTCAAATTCAGCAAGCAGTGGCAACATTTTTCGAAATAAAGCAGATTTTCATCTTCAGCGTGCGAAACTGTTGCCACTCAGAAAAGTGAGGGCTAAAATTAGCATTTTTCCAAGTTTTTAATTAATATATCAGCTAATTAAAGTCGTACGAAGATGAGAGAATGATCGAAATGGCTTCCCACAAATTTTTGGAATCTGGGAGTATTTCTCTTGAAGCTCAACTCCCCACAGTTCCAGAGGAGATAATGCCACAAACAGACGTGCACAGATTTTAATAGTATAGGTTCTGCATAACATAACTACCCCATCTGCTTTAACAACTGATATTAAGTAGCTAGTGAATAAAAAATGAATCTACAAAAATATGAAACAGCAGGCGTGGAGTGCAGCAGGCTACAGATATAAAATCTAACCAACAGGCCATTCTTTTATCACATTAAGGTATCCTCTGAGAGAAATCCCACTGCATTAAACTCTTCTAGCTATGAGACTTATGAGTATAATAATAATTTTACCATGCTTGAGATAAAGTTGCAGACATTTTAGTTAGGAGCATTTCTTTTGTAAGTCACTGACCATTGATCTCGCTCTGTGCAATCAACTGGAAGATGCAACTTTTCCCAGTGCATAGAAGAATGCTGCTTTCATTCTAATAGCTGAGCTAAATAATTATCCGAGGAATCTCTCCAATTATCAGCAAATTGCTCTTATGAGTTGTGCTTGAAATTTCTTTGAAACAAATGGTAAATTTCTGCTTAGTCTATTTATACTGAAAAAAGTAATCTTACCTTATCAGAGTTGTTTCCTTAAAAGGAGGACGACCATCAATAAATCCTTTTAGAAAACTCCTGTGAAGTTTTTGTCAAAAGAATCTATTTTGTCTGTCTTTTTTTGATAAAGAAAATGCTTATAATATATGAAAATACAGCATTTTAAGTAATCTTCATGCTAGTAGTTTGCATGGACACATGTCTGTTTTCATGCATAACTTTTTGAAGAATTTTCAAGTCAGGATTGAATTTGTGTTATCAAAAATTCTTGAAAAAAAGAGGGTGTGTGTCAAGGTTATATTCTAAGGCTGCTATCAAACATCGATTTGTTCTGGAAGAACAACTGTTTGGAGCAATTTTTCTGCTTTGTCATAACAGCCAATCAACACAGATCACTTTGGAGTTAACATGTAAAGGGGAAATTGGTTCTGCATTAAAAACAAGCGGATAGCATTCAAAGCTGATACCTGACTGGTTGAAAACAAATAACTAGCAATCTTTTTTGAAAGGAAGGACAAAATTGCGTGTTTTTCTTTCAATAGTAAACCAAGCAGAAAAATTGTCCAAAACAGCTGTTTGTATGAAACAAATGGGCCTGAGAGTTACACATTTCAGCTTAAAAATAAGTTCTGATTTAAAACAACCCCCTCCTTCCATTTCAGGATCATTGTATATTGATGACCTCCAGATGAGCTGTCAGAATGACAGTTCCAGATTGCTTGAAAATAATCAAATAAACCAGAATTTGTGCGATTTCAAAACGGACTATTTGTGTGCACTTTTGTAGAAACTGTAAGGACAGCATTTCAAGCGTAAGTTTTAGCTTCAAGAGTCTGGGATCCCATTCTGATCAGAAGTTCAATTTTAGGAGTGATGCTTGAACAAAAATTAACTTTCCTTCCACATGTGCTATGCTTGCGGAAAAAGTGTTTTAAAGTGCTAAATCCTGTAAAGCCTGGTGAAATCCTGACCATTACTGATCATTGCTTCACATTCACGGAGTGCTTGTCTGCACTAGACTGACTATATAGCTCTGTTTTTATGGACCCACTATCTTCAATTTTGTTGAAAGTAGATTCTGTTCACCATCAGGTTCTGCAGATTATATGTTATGAATTATTCAGAACCTCTCCTGTCCAGAGTCTGAATATTGACTCATATGAATCATCACTTCAGTTCAGATATGAGCAGTTCTCTCTTCATCAGTTTTTTTAAATACATTGTTTCAACTTGGCCATCCTATTAGTGTCTTTGCATGGTGAGATGTATGCCTTTTTGTTTACTATGTGATTATCTTGTGAGCCTTTTGTCTCTTATGGTGTGTTCTCTACTTGAATAATTTTCCATTTCTGAAGTAAATACCCAGGCAGTAAAGCATTTTGAAATTTTGCCAAAGGAGCATATACAAATTCAACTTTTGGATATATTCTACCATTTTGATTAAAAAAAAATTACAAACTAGATCATCTATCATCAACTTTTTCTTGAGCACAAGCATGAATACAATAATTATATTCCCGTATGGGTCAAAAGCAGCCAGTCATGATGGAATATTATTCATGGTTGGAAGCTATATGGAAGGTAGATGATAGCATAAGGCTTTCTCAGCGCTCACTGTAGAATTAACTGCTATGTATTATGACTTTTCATTCTGACTCCTACAGTGCCCTGAAAATTATAGAAATATTTTCTGATACTCATAGGTCTTATAGTTATTGAAGTTCTTAAAGCTGAATTTAAATTTAAGAAAACAAGGATATCAAACTCTGTAATTTTAAGGTTCCTAGGCAAGTAAGCTTAAATGGTAATGAGCTCATAGACAACACAGGAAAATCTATATAGATTTATGCAGGTAGTTCATTCCATTTAGACATATCTGCAAGGCCTTCAGATAATCCTTAAAGCATAAAACCTATAGTTGAACATTGGGAGACAACTGAAAAGCAGAAAGAGGATGTTCTTTTAACTTACTTAGAATTGATCACAAATTATGTAACTTTCTTATAGTTGAGAGAGTGAACTCATTTGTTCAAAAAGTAATGCTCTTCTATAAGCGCATCATATTTTACATTTTAATACAGTCCTCATATTTGAAAGAAATTTCATTTTTTCATTTTAATAGCTGTGACTTAGCACTTCATTATTTTAATTGGGAAAAAGGTCAGTGTCAATTTGTTTTCATATTTGAGAGAGACTGGATTTTATTATCTAGTTTGTTTTACTATATTTGTTTATGCTAAATCTAAGAATATTCACAGTATGTTTTGTGCATTATAACCGTTAAGGTTATGGACCATAAAATGTACAACTAATGAACTTTAATCATATATTCTGCATACTGTTTATGAAAAGGAATCATTTTCATGTGAATCACATAATTTATCTATAATCTCTATGCCATTCTTGCAAAAAAGTACAAGGGACATTCAAATGAAACATAGCAAGAGGTACAAACCTTTTATAATATCAAGCTATCAAAAAATATTTAACAGAGTTTATCAAGACATTTATTTTACTGAATGGCCAACAGTTTTTCTCAAATAAGTTCTCATGTTTTTCAGATAATCAATTCTGAACTTCTAGTTTAGAAATTATCATAGGACTTAAAAATGTAACGGAAAAAGTCTGCACAGATTTTGAATTTCAGATTAGCATGTATTGGTTTTAGACCAATTTGTTTTCTTTCTTTTTAATTTCAATGTACATAATGTAAAGCTGTATGGTTTTTTAATTGTCATTTTGGCACTATGTAATGTTTTATTCTTTTTCCAAGTGTTCCAAAAATGTGTAAGGAAAATTCTGGTACATTTGAGATTCGAGTTTTCGGTTTTATATGAATTTTAAAGTCTTTAATAAAAATTTGATGAAATCTTTTTACGGTTTTTGGTCTCAAATGGACCAGGAGAACGAAACATATTAATCAACCTTCATGAAGCTTTAATTCATTTTCCCCTGATGAGTTCTGAATTGGAGTTTCAATAAAAGGAGATTCATTTTTATTTGTATAATTTTGTATATTTTCCCTTTTGCATTTTTATTTTTCAAAATTGTTCTACTATGAGTTCTGTCTTTAGCTGGACTAGTTCTGGTACTGTGGTAAACCTCTTATGCACGGTTGCAATTATTATATTATAGAGGAATTGCCTTACTTTTATTTTAATTTACTAAGAATTTTGGTGCTTTTTTAAGTTTATATGTGTGTGTTAATTTTATTATTTGAATGGTTTCAGTTTTAAATAACTCAGTCAGTCATAGAGTTCAAAATTCCACTACTTAATTTACATATGCTATTAGAATTTAAATGATATTGTAAATTAGTTCACTGCAATAATTATTTTAATTTTTTATTTTTGCAATTAAAATTTCTTAATTAAATTTTAAATTTATATTAGCTTTATACGAATAGAGAATATTTGTTAAATTCAAACTTTTTAATAATTACATATTTTACAATATAGCTACAATAAATATTAATGCATTATTTATATTATTTTTTTCATTGAAAGCTTACCCGGCATGCAGGACATGCACCAACTACATTTGTATTCACAGGTACAGTTACAGGCACGTAAGTGGTTCCATATTGTGTTGGCCCTTGACAAGTCCCATATTGTGCTGGCCCTTGATACGTTTCATATTGTGCTGGCCCTTGAGAAGCTCCATACTGTGCTGGCCCTTGGCAATCTGAATACAGTCCATTATTTTCATGTGGATTATAAGGAGCTGTATTATAACCAGGTTGAAATGTCACAGGAGTTGCTAGGAGAACAGTGACACATTGAAATAACACTTTTAAACATAAATGTAATTCTAAAAGAATATTTACTTAGAGTTTAAAACAAAATCAAATTTTTAGGTATAATATGTTAAAAATTCTTTAAATACCTTTTAAGTAAACTTAAAATTCAAGAAATCATATATTATCCAGTTCATATGTTCTAGTTATTATAATTTAAATTATACATAGATACAGTTTTAATAGTTTATTTCATGATCTGTTAGCACAATTTACAAAATGTTTCTTTTCCTTATTATTCATATATGAGCATATCTCAGGTTCTGAATGAAATACATTCATAAGATTATCATTAGATCAAATTTTCATGTTAACTCAGATATATGATGATGATGATGATGATAATTCAAAATGAAAGTCAAAAATAGGTTACAAACTGTTACAGGATAAGCACAAAGAGGAAATTCGAAAGATGTCATTATACTGACACAATGGCTAATGCCATTAATCACTGATGGTGTGTCAAAGCAGATGTGTAAATAGCTAGTATGCTAGTAGAATGCATATTAAAACAACAGTGGGATGTGATACATTTTCTGTACTGCTAGTCAATTTCCAGAGACAGGAAGTGAATGAGATACTGTAGTATGATTCAGTATCACATTTGCTAAAATGCAGCTAAATGTAATAATATGCTCCTTTCATAAGTTACAAAGTGTAGGTACAAAATCAGAGTATTCCTTCTTTTAATTGATGATTTATTGAAAATAATATTTAAAAATTATACTATTTTCTTTTAATTAAAACAAATATTACATAAAACTCATGCAACACTTGGATGAAAGGTAAGAGAATTTAACACTAACTTAGTGTTGCTTTAAAGTTTTACCTAATAGAAGGGGCTTTTTTAATCAAGAAAGAGGCTAATATTAATTACAAGAGATGATGCTGTACAGGATAGACTGGATTTTATTGAACATATTTTTAATTCACTTTGAATCATGATAATAAGAATACAGATTTACAAAATGGAGAAAAAAATTTAAAAGAGATCTGTACAAACAGCTTTACAATCAATGAGACATTAGCACAAAGATGCCTTGCCAATAATGTTTGTCCATATGCCTGCAAGATACTAGTTCTTGAAGTTACTGTAACAAGCTTGTTCCAAAATACAGAACACCATAAGTTCATCTTCATCCCAGAGACATTCTGTTTAAATTTGTTTGTCATATTTCAGCCAGAAGAAAGGCTGCTTCAGGATCACTTTGTGATAGTTAAATGGTATGAGTTTGAGAGGTTTACTCTTAAAAAGCCCATATTGTAGGAAAACAGCCATAGTGTGCTTTTGTTATATTCAAATAATCATTTTCAATTCTTGTCATATTACTTATAAATACAATAAAACATGTATCTTGTAGCAGTTAAAAGTTATCAATTTAAATCATCTCAGTCCTTTTAGCTGTGTTATATTAACAATAGATATAATAATTACATGCATAGTGCAGTCATATTATTTATGTTATTAAATCTACTGTTCTAATTTTCAAAATTATGTAGTCTACTTTTTTCTGATGTAAATAAAATTATTTACATATAGCCTTCATTGCATAGCAAAATAACTGAAAATATATTATGTAGCAACACAAAATTTACAGAAAAGTTCGGTATGTAAATAAATATATAACAATATATCATAATAACAAATAACAGTTTTGTTAAAGAGTTTATCATAAGAGTTGAAGAGTAAATATGTATATCCAATAAATCAAATACAACTGAATATTATTAAAGTTTAAACTAACTATATCACTTATTTTTAAATATAGATTACTTCATTCTTGAAGAGCTCATTTACTGAATTAAATTTAGAACAACATTGGGATTAATTTTATATATATACAGTCAAAGGTCGTTAATTCGGACACCCATAATTCGGAATGATCTATAATCCGGACCTCAAAGTTAAAAACTTTCTGCGCATGCGCCGCGTTGACACATGCGCATAGGCGTTTACGCGTGCGCGTAAGACTCTTACAACTGCGCATTTGCGTGTGCGCAAGCGCAGAATACGTTTTCGCGTGCGCGTTTTATGTATAACGGACGGTGTAAGCTAAAATTATCTAATTATCTATTTCAGTTAATGTTGATGATTGCGTTGTTCCTTAATTTTCAAATTGGATCCGGCTTATTATTTTTTGCAGACTGTAAGAGCAATACTATAAAAGTAAACTTGAACTTTCGATTATGTCAAATAGAATTTTTGATTCTGGAGCTCCCAAAGGATCGTACAAAACGAAAGTATGTTTCGATGTCCATCAAACAAAAAGTGGAATTGCTGCAAAAAATGGATAAAGACATGAAGAATGTGACAGAGAGGTTAGTGAAAACGAAAAAATTTCGACTGACTAGTTAGTCGGTATTCTCGGCACAGCAATTAACGGGACTTGAACAGCGGAACTTTGTAAGTGAACAAAAAATTATGTCTGTTTATAGAATTAAAGAGAAAGTATTATCACATGAAACGAAGCAACTTAAATAACTTACATTGAAAGAAATGTTTAATAAAGTAAACAAATAAATATTAAGCTTTTTTTTTTTAAATTTTGATACCTTTCAGATCATAATTGTTCTTTATTTCATAAATTACGGTTTCATATTTTTAATTTTAGAATTTCTGCATGCCGTCTTACGCAATTTAAACTGATGATCTATAATCCGGAAAAATCGATAATCCGGAATCGCTGAAGTCCCGATGAGTCCGGATTAACGACTTTTGACTGTATATAGGTTAATAGAATTGAACGAGAATGTAATCAGATTGCTTTAATGCAAGTCTTAAAATATGCATTTATTACAAGTTTTTTTTAACTTTTGCTTAATTTGAATGTTTGTACTGATTTGTGTATATTATAATTATTATAGTTAAAATTATACATACAACATTAATAATTTATTTCATAATATAGTCTCGATTAACAAAAGTTTTTTTTTTTTCTGATAAATATGCCAAAATCTATATGATGTAATTATCAGTATATAATGCATACACAATAAATAACTTCACATTTTACAAAGCTCATAGTTAGTAATTTTTCCATTAAATTACACAAAGTATCATTTAAAAGTAGTCTTAAAATGTAATAAGGCCATAGAATAACTTTGAAATAAAATAGCTGCACATAAGACAACTTTTAGGTACTTCTGCATTTATGAGCTTTTATATAATCATAATTCTAATTATATGTCAGAATTTTTGCTCACTCAATTTCATACTCAATCTTATATTAACTGAAAGCCTTTTTCCATTTCCTAATTAAAATATCTGAACCAGCCTTTCTAACTCTTCTGACCATGAAAGAAGCCTGCAAGAGTTTTTGGATTTCACATAAAGCCTTCTTAAACACCTAATTTGATTTTCACACTCCCCCCCTTTTTTTTTAATCCATGACTCTTAATATGACTATATTTAAAATTTATGATTACAGTTCTTAAAAAATATATTTCTATACCCAGAAAATATTATTTAAATTTCCATTTATGGTACTTCCAGTAAAATGTTCAGTTTCAAAAGTCACTTAAAAAAAAGGTTTTGGCTTAGAAAAAACATATTTTTATTCTAAAATTCTTAAAATATCCATTTTGTTTTACAAAATCATCAAAGTCAGTCTAACTTATCAAACTTTATTTTACTCTCCTAACTCAAAGAAATTTTAAAAAGCAAATTTAAGTTCATGGTGGATGGTAAAATGCAATAAATGATATAATTAGTGTAAGAATATATTTATTGAAACATTTTTCAGTGTATTTTGGTCAAAATAAAATAGTAAAAAAAAGGTAGCAAATACAATCGAATTACATGTAAATAACACGTTTGTAAAATTTCTGTAGTCTTGAATTAGTGGTTTCTTTATTAAAGGTAATTTATATTATGTTCATACATTTTTTTTAAATGCTCAATAAAAAAGTACATTAAAATGCTTAAAAATAAAATTAGGACTTAATTAATGAATTTGATATGATTTATTTGATGACATTTTATACAAATAATTATCACATCTGAAACTGATCGGCTTCTTTCACATGCATTATATAATAAATACTCTTTTGGGAGGCAGGATAACAATCTTGTAAAAGCAAAAATTGGGAATACTAAAACTCATGATATATTAATATTATTCATGAAAATGTGTATTTAATAATCTAAAAATAATTTTGTTGTAGATTTTCTTCAGTGGATCGTAGAAAATTTATTTTGTTGGACTTAAAGATATTAGCACTAAATGCAATTAAACAATCTAAGAAACATAAGATTAAATAATTAGTCACTTTTTATACAAATAACAACATTCTGTTCTCATAAAGTTTGCTGTACAGCATCAAAATAAATTTTGATTGCAGTTACTACAGTTATCATGCATATTTTTAAGTGACCGATACACAAGAATGAGTCTTTCCTGCAATAACAATAAAAACTGAAATGGATTTTTTTAAAGTAAAAATAAATAAAATATTTGCTCCTCGATTGAAGTTAATCAACAGACTTCAGCTTTCAGAATAAAAATTTCTTCTTTAATTTTATGGTAATATGAAATGTACTATAAAAAATATTATTAAAAACATAACCATTCATTATAAAGATATAAACCCATTAAAATATATTTAAGTTATTAATATTTTAATAGCATTTTATAAATGCAGAAGTACCTAAAAGTTGTCTTACGTGCATTTGTTTTATTTCAACGTTATTCTATGGCCTTATTACATTTTAAGACTACTTTTAAATGATACTTTGTGTAATTTAATGGAAAAATTACTAACCATGAGCTTTGTAAAATGTGAAGTTATTTATTGTGTATGCATTATATACTGATAATTACATCATATAGATTTTGGCATATTTATCAGAAAGAAAAATGATACTTTTGTTAATTGAGACTATATTATGAAATAAATTATTAAAGTTGTATGTATAATTTTAACTATAATAATTAATATACACAAATCAGTACAAACATTCAAA